ATTTGAAAACAGTCACTCATGGTTCTCAAACTAACAAGGTTGTCAGGCCCAGCAAAGGACCAGGTGGAACTCCAGGTTGGGATGCGCATAACTCCCTGACATCCTCAGCGACTGGGCTCCCGCTATTGATAGGCTATCAGTGATTCTTGTTGCCCTCTGTGGAAGGTGAGTGTTTGGTACCACCTGTTTAACACCATCTCGGCAGGTGTTGACAACTCAGGAGGGCGACACAAACAGCCCTGCTCTGGACAAAAGAGCAGAATAAACAATGTGCGCATCGCGGTAGGACACTTGAACCACGTTACTCACCTGGTCAAAAGGTTTGGCTTTCCAGAAAGCGTGTTAGGTACAGACTGAATCCCGCAAACTCTCTCCTAATTACATCGGAACATTTGAGATCGACTTTCTAATTAACCCTGTCACAGTTTGTTTGTTTGCAACATGTGCATCCATGTTCCACGTCTCTCAGCTCGAGCCCACCGTTTCCAGCCACTGTAAATAAGTTCACCAAACTTCATTCTGAGTCCGCGTTTGAGTCTTTTAGACTCTGACATAAAAGGAATACAAACTGAAACATAACCACATGACAAACATCATTTTATTCATTTAAATATGAAATGTAGTGAAAAAAATCTTAGTTATTTGCATATTCTTCACACTTAAATGTTTCAGATAAAGCAATTATCAATAAACAATTAATAATAAATTATCAATTTATTAAGAACAAAAAGCTTTTTACAAAATCCACATTCTGATAGCGTAGGATTAGGATCAACACTGATGCTGATCTCGCTCTAAATGACCTATAAAAATTCAGATATTTTCCACTTGGGTGTCCAAACAGGATTTTTCTTTGTTTTTAAACGGGGGATATTCATTTGCTCTTCCTTAAACCCCAGCTGGGTTTGCCAGTAAATATTAAGAACATAAAGTTACAAAGTTCTCAGGATTTAGAAATTGCTTGATTTAATTTCATGTATTTTTATTTTTAAAACACTTGATGTGTTCAATTATATGCAAAGACTCACCTCGTTTTCAGAAGCCCAACTGCTGCACATCAACAGCAGCTCAGCCACTCCCAGAGCAACTATAAGGTTCTTATGGACAGTTGTGCGGTCTGATTTAGGGACACTGTACAAACACACACACGCAAGGACACACAGTAAAAATATGTGAGCAAAGCTCTTACAGCAGTTCTCGGGATTAAAAAAGTTTTACTGCGATGCTGTTCACACATCTACAGAGCACAATGTTCTGCTTTTTTCCGCTCCATTTATTGATGGGAATCTAGCAGGGTTATATGAAATGCTTTTCACCCTTGATGCTTTACAGAGTGCACTCTGTGACGTTTGTGACTCACCCCACGGAGATGAAGAGGATGAAGGTGAAGAGGAGGCCACACAGAGACACTCCACAGCCAATGAACGTCAGCACCTGCAGAGCTTTTTCATTCTCTGGGCTCCTCTGACACAGTAACACACATTTACAGACACACACACACACACACACACACACGCACACACACAGAGCAAATGTTGTATTAATAGCTCATAGTGAAGATGAAAGCACAAATAAAATCCAGAGTACCACAGCCGTGACAGCTGAGTAGAGGAATATTACCTGGGCTTCATACACCTGCAGCAGTAATGCAAAGTTGGTGGTGTGGTTGCAGTAGCACACAGTATATCCATACTGCTTGGACACTATTTCACAGCCCTTGGTATTCCACCACCCACCAGCGTCTGGGCTAATAAGACACAATTTATTCAACAAACACAATTTACATATGTACATCCCCATTTTTGATTAAAAAATTACATTTATTCTGGTTTTATGGGGAATTTAAAGAAATTCAAAATACAAATCCTTAAAAAAATGTAATTTTTACTTACGTTAGATTAAAATCCCAGAAGGCACACACGGGATCATACACAGTACCATCTGGATTCTGTAGAACATATGAGGAATATGAATATAGTTATAAAAAATGGTAGACATGTACAGTTAGCAGAAAATAGAGAGATTTTGTTGACCTGTACTCTATGTTGCAGCTGGAAGCGAACTGCCATGCTAACTGGTTGGTCATCTCCCAGTACTGTGGTAGAAATGACTGAAGAACCCAAGATGGTGCCTAAATACCTGGTTTGGCACAAAAGATTGTGAATTCTCACAGTGAAAGCACACAAGGTAGAACCAAGTATAAAGAACAGGCACCAAAACCTTTTATCTGAAACAAATACTGATGAATCTTTGTACGTTTGTAAGGTCTTTACCTTACAAGATAAATCTACTGCTGTTGTGATTTGGTGCTGTACAAAAAAAAAAAAACGGAATTAAATAACCTGAGGATGAAATTTCAACAGTACAGTATGTAGAAATGTTGGGCGAGCGTGGCTCAAGATTTGGGAGTTCGCCTTGTAATTGGAAGGTTGCCGGTTTGAGCCCCGGCTCCGACAG